TAAAAAAGGCAGGTAGATGAAAAGAGGCTATAGACTAATGGATTGCAGTAGTTGATGATTTTAAAAGAAAAAAAGAAAGCGAGAAGGTAGAAAAGAAGGATGTAGTTACACAGAAAAGGGTGGAGCTAGGAATAGTTCAAGAAAGCATGAAACATTATTTCATGGAGAAGAGAAAGGAGGAATATAGGAATATCGGAGACCCTACAAATGAAAAGAGAGAAACCAGTGATAACAGCAACCATGAAGACACTATTGATATTAAGAGAAGAAATATTGAGAAATAATCAAGAAAGAGAAAAGAAATAGATGAGAAGGAGGAAGAGGGTGTGACTTGTGATAAGAAACTCAGGAATAATAATCAAAGTAGTGAAAGCAGATATATAGATGCTTAGGCTAAGAAGGAAAAAAAGAAGTTAAAACAACAAAAAAGGGAATAACAGAGATGATGCTAAAGGCAATGAATACAGGAAACAAGAAGATGATAGAGGATTTACAAGTATAACAGGTACGGGTACTTGGTTTGTTTTAAGTATTGCTTTAATACTTAGTTTATTTTATATTTTGTTTTAAGTATCACTCTGATACCCGATTTGCTCCTTCTCTTATCATTTGATACTTGGTTTATTTTATGTTTTGTTTTAAGTATCACTTTGATACTTGGTTTGTTTTATGTTTTGTTTTAAGTATCACTTTGATACTTAAATTATTTTACCAAAGTGTATCGTTTGATACCTTTGAGTAGTTTTGTTCATGCTAGACATGAACAGATTTGTGTATTTAAAGACCTCCTGATTCCACGATGGAAAAGGCAGACTTTGGCAGATAGTATTTTAATATACTTAGTTGAACGATTACTTCTCTGTTTTCTCAGTACATCCTCGAAGCCTCCTTTAATTCTCCGCTCTCACCTTCTCTCTAGTAGAGCAGGCCACCTACTAACTATCGTACCTATTACCTATAACATGACTAGTATCTTGCGAACACGTTACAACAAGAGATGGGAAAGACAAGAATAAATTGGTAGGAGAAAATTATGAAAGGTGTTATAGGAAGTGTACAGGAGCTGAGGAGAAACACTATGGAAATAAATGATGGTAGTTATAAGTTAGAAGATAGAATTTGTAGGATTGAAAATCAGTAAAAGTCAATGACAGAGAAGATTGAAAATCAAATAAAGGAGCTTCAATCTCAAGGGACAAAATTGGACAAAATCTTAAGTCTTTTATCAGAGTCACAGAAATAGACAATATAAACTCATGTTTTTTTTTCTTGTATTTTTAAATATTCTCTCTATTGCTATTAGGCAGAGATAACCTGTATAGACTCAGAGTTATCTAGGTCAATCAAGATTTGTTTCTGTAAACAGAGATTGTCTAGAAAGACTCAAAATATACTTGTTTTATTTATATCTACTAAGAGCAAAGTGAAGTAGGTAAAGGAGAATAGAATCATAAGAATAATATTATGTTTTTAAGGTCTCTTCTCCATTGCTAGATGATGACCAAAAGCTTGAGAGGCATTTCAATATTTATATTCTACATGTAAGTGTTTGCAGACCACATCTATCTCTCATACAAATTATATACCTCTTTAACTATAACTCACAATATCGAGTATTTTTTGGAAGTGCGAATACTAGAAGACCCTGAAAACCATCATACTCTCTTTAGTAATATCTATTTTATCAATTGAGAACTGTACCGTTTCCAATAGTAATTACCCAATCTTCAGAGTTATTAGACTTATGGCCTAGTTCTCAAGTCAATTTAAGTTGGCCTCAATGATCTTCCTAATTGATGAAATAGTCAGTTTCATCCGCGGGTCATATCTGTAGAAGTCATCGTAAATGCAACCTGCTTTGGTTGCCTACATCAAACCTTTATAACTCCTAATTTAACAGATAGATATTTTCTAAATGACTTCCTACTAATTCGCAAGAAGCTATTCTATCAGACTGGCATATAATCCCATGGTCAGCAACTCTTAGTTGTTTTAAGTAACAGGTTTTAGTTGCTATTTAGTATTACAAATAATTCCCGCAACTACAATACATTTCTAGACCTAGTTGTAATACTCTGCGAAGTTTATAGGCTTTTTCAGTAGTGTCTTTCTGAGTTCTAGACTCTTCTAATTATCGTAGGATGGATGAAAATTTGTTGGCTCTTTACCAAGATCTTTTAACATTCAATACTACATCTTTTGTACAAAAAGGTCCCATTACCTATGGCTGATATCAAAGATATGCTATTTTTGAAGCCTAGTAACTCTCTGAGTAGTTGACAGATTTACTCTGTTCTACTTCCCC